TTGATGATTATAGTCAGAAAACATGAGTGTATTTTCTTAAAAGAAAGTCGGAGGTGTTCAGTATCTTCAAAGAATTCAAAGCTTTTGTAGAAAAGCAAAGCGGCTACTACATCAAGACATTGCGGTCAAATCAAGGTAGAGAATATACATCTGATGTTTTTGAAAGATTTTTGTAAAGAACATGGAATCAAGAATCAAACAACACCATCCTATACACAACAGCTGAATGGTGTTGCTGAATGGAAGAATCGCACAATCTTAAATATGGCAAGGAGCATGTTGAAAGGAAAAGGATTGCCCAAGCAATTTTGGGCTGAAGCCGTATTATGTGTTGTGTATCTACTAAATAGATGCCCAACCAGGAGCCTTCACTCTATGACTCCAGGAGAGGCTTGGAGTTCATATAAGCCAAGTGTCAACCATCTCAGAATATTTGGGTGTGTTGCATACACCAAGATTTCAGAAGCAAAAAGAACCAAGCTCGATGATAAAGGAGAAAAAAGTATCTGTCACGCCCCAAAATTTGGATAATTAAATATCAAATTGGGGCAAAACCCCAATCAATATTCCATCATCCAAATCTTAGGGGTGAAACAAAAAAACTAAACGCTAACCAAACCATCCACCATAAATTTCATAACTAACCAATACCTTAACATCAAGGTAGCAACAACTAGTCAAAACAACTTAAATAAAGTACGGTTACAAACCATGCTAAATTATTTCAATACTAAAGTTATAAAAAAAAAATAATAAATACATAAACTAATATTAACCCTAAGCTTAAGAAAACAAAAGAAGTCCAATGGACATGTCCTACGATCATAGTAAATCCACGTCACCACCATAGCCTCAACTAATCCTGCAAAGGAAGCTCACCTGCGCTCAAACAGAACGCACCCGAGTTGCCAAGAGACAAAACAAGTCAGTATACAGATATACTGGTATGAGTACAAGATTCAACACCCACGTGTCCACCAGACACAAACAAAAATACATTAAATTCTTATTACGTGACAAGACAGGTAGTTCCAACAGCACCGAGATGAATGGGTAGTTTCTCGAGATACGGTGGCATTTAGTTTTTTGTCCGTACACAACGAAATATAAATTGATTATAAAATAATAAAAATAGAAATAAAAATATGGTGGGTCAACCCTGCCCTGCGTAAAAAAATTAGTAAGACCCACCATCTTGCAAAAAAAATAAAGTCAGTATAATTTAATCATAAGTAACTTACTGAAGAAGTATAAAAATGCACCTTTTTATGCTTAAATAATTCGAATTAACCAAAACTCAAAAAATAAAAGTTGTATAGAATCAAATTTCCTAAAAGGCATCGCAGACGAATTTAATAGAAACTAAACAGGTTGAGAGAAAAACTTGATAGAAAAATCTAGACGGAATTCAATCAAAAAAAATCTGAAGTTGAAAATGAACAAAAACTGCCCTAAGATGATTTTTTTGGGGAAAGTTTAAAACACGAAAAGTGTGCAGAATAATGTTTACTTCATTTTATGCAAAACCAATAAAAATGAGCTCGTTTCGTGGGTTAAAACAACCTCTAAAATCTGCATTGCCAAATGAATCAAAACTACAATAACTAAGATCATCCGATTATGAGTTCTAATCGATATTTTTAATAAAAGTTAAAACACAAAAGTTGTCTAGAATCACATATACATGTCTCTGCTCAAATTTCATAATTTATCGAGGTCGTTTACTATTTTTCAATATGAACAAATCAATACAATTCACACTATAGAAATAAACTCATAATTAAATTCTTTATACCTTAACTCCACCACTCTGGCCCTCCCCTTCCGGCCTACACATATATCCCATGTGCCTCCCGTATACCTAACACCGCTCCAAAGCCAAACTTGCACGAGAATATCGTCCCGAGTTTGACTCACACTCCCCGGATGGTTAGCATGTACGTACGTGCGCAAATCAAAGCACTCGTCTACTCATAAGAACGAGGCAACAGTATATATATACACAACATCTCACTCATGAGAATAAACATAACAATGTCAAGCTTAAGGCATTCAAATAAATCTCATAATTCTTACTTTTTTTTTGTACACTCTTTTCTCACCATCACTCAAATAAAACAACAATCCATGGAGTCATGGTAGAGTATAAGGAATTTATCTATAGGTTCTTAATTAATTTTAATTTCATATGAGCATGAGTTTAATTATAGCCATAAAATAAATCCATATAAAAATCCTAAACATGGCATGCACAACTAATCAAAATAATTAAAATTCATCCATCATCTACATGTAAATACAAAATCAATCCAACATAAAATAAAAATAAATAAATAAAAACAACGAATCAATCTATCCTCTAACCAATATCTATGGATTCTAAGTTTATTTTAATTTTATATAATCATGAGTGTGATTACAACCATAAAATAAATGCATAAAAGAAAAAACCCTAAACCTTGTATACACAACTAACCAAAATAATTAAAATCAATCATTCATCTAAAAACCCTAAACATTGCATACACAACTAATCAAAGTAATTAAAATCAATCAATTATTTAAAAACCTTAAACTTTACATACACAACTAATCAAGGTAATTAAAATCAATCAATCATCCAAAAATACTATACTTTACATACACCACTAATCAAAATAATTAAAATCAATCTATCATCTTTATGTAAATACAAAATCAAACTAATATCAAATAAATAAAAATAAATAAATAAAAATAACGAATTAAGCATAAATCAAGGGAAGTGGGTTTTGTATTCATAATATTTTTTTAAAGATTAAAAAATTATTTGAAGAGCTAATCAGTGTGTTTGGTTTGAGTTTTTTTAATTAAGTTTTTTGAAAATTTAGTTTTTTAGTTTTCGTGTTTTTTTTATTTTTAGTGAATATTTTTAAAATTTTAAATTTTTTTTTTACTTTTTTAGATGCACCTTACTTAGATGTATCTAAAAAGTAAAAAATTTGTGAAAAAATATTTTTAAAAATTAATAAATTTATAAAAATATAAAAAATGTACTTTTTTTTTTGTTTTTAGTGAATATTTTTAAAATTTTAAACATTTTTTTTACTTTTTTAGATGCACCTTACTTAGTTGTATCTAAAAAGTAAAAAAATTGTGAAAAAATATTTTTAAAAATTAATAAATACATAAAAATACAAAAATATATACTGAATTCTCTTATTTTTTTTGTATTTTTGGTATTTAGTAAATTTTTAAAAGGTTTTTTTTCAATTTTTTTTACTTTTTAGGTATATTTATGTTCGGTATGTCTAAAAATTAAAAAAAAAATTGCTCAAAATATTAAAAAATTCAGTAAAAACAAAAAAATACGAAAAATAAGAAAATAAAATTTTCTAAAAAGTATTTTTTAAAAATAATAACCAAACAAGATGAATAGAACCACCAAAACAAAACCCTAATCTTTTTCTTCCTTTTTCTTTTTCTTTCTTCCTTGCCGCCGTCCCTCACTTTCTCTTCTTTGATTACTCTCTCTCTCTCTCTCTCGGTTTGTACAGCCGTACAGCGCCACCCTTCTCTTTTTTCTTTGTTTTCTTCTAATTAACTTCTAACCTAATTAACTTCTTAAATATATTATATTATAAACCTAAATCTCAATATATAATAACCTAATAAACTATTATAATATATTATATTATATAATACAATATAATTACAATATATATAAATATAAATATAAGATAATATATATATATATATAACACCCTTTTTTTATATAACAAATATAAATAATAAATCTTTGGATTAATTATATATAATTAAATAACACATTAAATTAATTAATCACCACATTAAATTCATTAAATATCACATTAAGTTCTCATGTGACCACACAATTAATAAAGTCAAAAATAAAATAAGATAATAATAATCGTAATAATAAATAAATGACTTAAGAAAATTAAGATCGCTACAGTATCCTTGTCAAATATGGAGACAGAACAATGGAATACAAGTTGTATAATCCCATTACCAGAAAGGTGATCATGAGTAGAGATGTGATATTTGAAGAAGAAGAAGCTTGGAGCTAGAATCAAGATGAAGTTGTTAAAGATACAGAACTCATTCTTGAAGATGAAACATCAAAGCTCTGGTTGAAATCAAAAGAGAAGTTCAAGATGAGCCACAAACTCCTCCACAAAAAATACTTGCACCTAGATCACCAGTTTTTCACAGAAGTGATACATCATTATCATTATCATCATCAGATGATAGTTTTTTCAAACAACCAAGACCAATGAGAAATTTGCAGGAGATATATGAAGCTATAAAAGAAGAAAATCTGAATTTGTTTTGCCTACTCACAGATAGTGATCCACTTACTTTCTCAGAAGCCATCCAAGAAGATAAATGGAAGAAAGCAATGGATGAAGAAATTCTTGCCATTGAGAAAAATGACACATGGAAGCTTACCAATCTACCGGAGGAACACAAACCCATTGGAGTGAAATGGGTATACAAGACAAAGATGAATGCACAAGGCGAAGTGCAACGCTATAAGGCAAGATTAGTGGCAAAAGGTTACAAGCAGAGAGCTGGAATTGATTACGAAGAGGTGTTTGCTCTAGTTGCTTGGTTGAAGACTATCAAGCTAATGATTTCTTTGGCTGCCCAGCACAAGTGGCAGATCTATCAACTTGATATGAAATCTGCATTTCTTAATGGTTTTCTTGAAGAAGAAATCTATATTGAACAACCTTCGGGGTATGTTCACAATGGGCATGAAAACAAAGTGTACAAATTGAAGAAAGCACTTTATGGATTGAAGCAAGCTCCGGATACAAGAAATACTAGAATTGATCAGTATTTTCATGACAATGGTTTTGAAAAATGTCCATCTGAGCACGCACTATATTTGAAGAAAGAAGTTGATGGAAGCATGTTGCTTGCTTGTCTTTTATGTTGATGATCTAATTTTCACCGAAAACAATGCAGCCATGTTCAAAGAAATTAAAAAAAGCATGGTCCAAGAATTTGAAATGACAGATATTGGATTGATGGCTCATTTTCTTGGCATTGAAGTGGCACAAAGAAAAGATGGAATTTTTATTTCCCAAAGTGGCTATGCCGGGGAAATTCTTAAAAGATATGGAATGAAGAATCACAATCCAATGAACACTCATGTAGACAGTGGAGTGGAACTCAAAAAAGGTACAAAGGCAGGTGATGTGGATCCAACTTATTTCAAGAGCTTAGTTGGAAGTCTTTGCTATCTTACTTGCACCAGGCCAGACATACGCTATGGGGTAAGACTGATTAGCAGATATATTGAAACAACGGATCAGTCACACCTTTATGCAGCAAAGAGAATTCTTCGCTACATTAAAGGTACATTCGATGATGGTTTATTCTATAAACCAACTGATAATTTCAGTCTTGTTGGCTATTCAAATAGTGACTGAGGACGTGACTTAGATGAACGAAAGAGTACTATTGGATTTGCTTTCTTTATGGGAAATATAGTGTTGATTTGGTCGTCCAAGAAGCAAGTTATTATGACACTGTAAACTTTCAAAGCTAAGTATGTTGCATCCAACTCAACTGTGTGTCATGCAATTTGGTTAAGAAATATGCTAAAGCATTTAGGATTTCCACAAGAAAATCCTACTGAGATCTATGTTGATAATCGCTCAGCAATTGCATTAGCAAAGAACCCAGTTTATCATGAAAGAAGTAAGCATATTGACACCCATTATCATTTCATCCAAGAGCATGTGAAAAATAAAGAGGTGGAATTATTTCCTTGAAAATCTCAAGATCAGCTTGTAAATATTTTCACAAAGCCATTGAAAAATGTTTTGTTCAACAAAATGAAGTTGATGCTCGGGATGAAGCAACATGGAGAATCAAGATTAAAGGGGGATGTTGTGAAGTAATCTTGCTTCACCTATAATAAAAAAAGTTGTGTTTCCACCTGCCTAAGAGTAGAAGATGGAGGCTGAAATCAAGTTTGTCAAAAGTGGTTGCAACCGTTTGAAACTCACAACCACAGTTGCATTTTCATTTAATGGTTTCACATTGCTAGTTTCATCTATATATAGCTAATGTCTTTTGAGAATTCAGAGTGTGGGAGAAAGAAGAGAGTTAGAGAGTAAAAGTGTGTTTCCTCTCCTCAGTGCATTCTAAATATTTGAGTGAAATAAATCTGTTTTTAAATTATAAATTCTCTCTCTTGTATTTATTTTTGTGAACCATAAAAGTGGTTTGCACTCCACTCCCACCAACAACAACAATTACAAGCAAATAAAATGCTCCAACATCACAAGCAAACAAACTTGCTTAAAACTTAGATAATTAAACACTACTAAACACAAGCAAAAAATTGCTTCAAATATAAATAAATGTAAACTAATCTAGCTAGGATTCTTCGTGTTCAAAAATCTCTTACCACGCTTAAGTATTTATGTTCGAAGAACAGTTAGTAGTCCGAATTTTGTATTGCAATCCCAAATTCTATTCGTTTGGATTTGTATTTTTTTCCCTCCTTTTTTTCCCATTCTCTTTCGCATAAGTATTCCTGTAACAAAAGTTAGAAAAAAGACATAATAAAATATAAAACAAATAATTGAAAGAAACTGTACGAGCAATAACTATTTACCAACCATCTAGCATGATCTTGAATAACAAAATTAAGTTAAAATTAAAATGCTATACAAGTTACAAAAATACACCTATCACTCCAAAAGAAAAATTAAATTAAAAGTTTAATAAGCTAGAGTTACACGTACAATTACAACATACCTAACATGTAATAACTCTAGAAAACGAAACCATGTATAATTATTCTAGTTGTACGAGCACGAAATAATTCTTCTCGTATGATCCTGTTGATCAAGTTTGCACTCCTCCAAACAACGTTGCTTTGCCACCTGAAAACACAAATGTGAGCTAACCGGCGGGTGTGTGCCAGAAACCCCTCCGATGCCTAAGTCAGCAACTAGACAATAGACAATAAGCTCTGTGTATTCTAGAGTAAGAATTGGGATACCTGTCCATAGGTCTGGTCATGAGCTTTTATAGACTCTGCTTGGCACATTCCTAGTAAGATTCTAACTCTCCCTATGAGAGTCCTCCTAGGAATCACACACCCTACTCACTACCAACCAAGTGAGATGGTTTTGCACAATCCTAGCAGGACTCTACTCTCCTTAGCAGAGTCCTCCTAGGAGTCACTCCTACTCACTACCAACCAAGTGAGATGGTTTGTACAATCTCAATAAGACTCTAACTCTCCTTAGCAGAGTCCTACTAGCAGTCTCATCACTGCAAGCCAAGTGAGATGGCTGAACCCTTTACCTCGGTTATACATTTCTGACCGAACTGTCATATCTCGGTCCCCTGCCATTCGGACCGTGTAATCAAAAGCTAATCTATCGAATGCCACCCTGCCGAGCTATACACAGCTCGGCCCTCGCCATTGATGTTACCTCCTTTACCTTGACTGACATCTTTACCTCAGCTGACATTGCGGTCAACCAGGTTATTTCGGTTCAGTGATACTTTAAGCACCACTGTCAGTCTTGACTCTGAGATAACGCCCTGTAGAGCTATCCTTTAGCTCGGTTCTCCTCCCACTGATACCTCGATTTTGTCTGTTTAGACCGAGCTAACTGCAACAGTCTCCGACCGAACTAACAAGGACGAGGTCCAACTTGCGAAGCCTAAACACCTCGGCCCATAGTTCGGCCCAAATCCGTAATATGAGATGTTTTCTTGGCCTAAGACTGAGCTATACCAGCCCTTATCTCGGCCCATTGCGCGGCCCAACTTCCAAAGAAGACTTTCCTAGCTCGGCCCAATTTGTTTACAAATTACCCTCTCAATTGCCCCTTAATTCCATCTGCGCAGCATGATTGGGATTACTCTCCTCTAGCCGAGCTAAAAACGTTCAACTCTGTCGAACTAGAGAAGTTTGTTTGGTCTCACAACTCGTTCAGTCCCAACAAGTCTGGTCAGTTGCTCAGCACGTCATTCCACTAATCTAGCATGTTTGATTCGACGTTATCCCAAGGACAAGTGGTGTGCCCCCATTTGCCCCATTCTCCTATTACAGCCGTCATACCAAAAATTTGAATAGCCCTGCTTTTTTGCCTTCAACGTATATATTCTTCGAGTTTGTAATCGTACGGTGAGTCGTTCTTTCTGTGTCTCGCCGAGTAGACTAACTCGGTTTACAATAACCCTGTCAACCTACTTTGGCCGAGGTAACCATCATCCCGGCCAAAGAGTTCAGAAATTTGTTGGTCAAACCTGCCAACCTTCTTCAGCCTAGATCCTGATCTCGGTTGAAGAGAACGAAGTGTTGGTTATTCTGGCCAATCCTCTCCAGCCTAGATCATGATCTCAGCTGAAGAGAACAAAATGTTGGTTTTTCCAGCCAACCCTTTCCAGCCTAGATCCTAATCTCGGCTGAAGAGAACAAAGTGTTGGTTTTTCCAGCCAGCCCTCTCCAGCCTAGATTGTGATCTCGGCTGAAGAGAACAAAATGTTGATTTTTCCAGCCAACCCTCTCCAACCTAGATTGTGATCTCGGCTGAAGAGAACAAAATGTTGGTTTTTCCAGCCAACCCTCTCTAGCTTAGATCCTGATCTCGACTGAAGAGAACAAAGTGTTGATTTTTTCAGCCAACCGTCTACAGCCTAGATCCTAATCTTGGCTGAAGATAGCTCAAAGTTGGTTATTTCTGTCAACTAAGAGTAAAGTGTTTGGTTATCCCGACCAAACGTCCTGCAACCTGGATCCTTATCCTCGGCTTAGGAAAAGTAAGTGTTGGTTTTTCCAGCCAACCTCTTCAGCCCAGATCCTGATCTTAGCTGAAGAGAGCTCAAAGTTAGTTATCCCTGCCAACTTAGAGTGAAGCGTTTGGTTATTCCTGCCAAACGTCCTGCAGCCTATATCTTTATCCTCGGCTTAGGAAAGAAAAAAGTACTGGTCAAACCTACCAACCTTTTTTGTTGCCCCCCAGTCGAGCAAATTACTTATTTAGAAAGAGTTGGCCAATCCTGCCAACCTTCCCAATTGCCCCCCAGTCGGGCAAAGACTTTTGCGCGGTCAATCCTACTCGTCAACCGTGTTAACTCTGGCCAAAAAGCTTTTTGTTGGTATCACTGTTGCGCCGGACTCCGCCTTGGTGTGCGCCCCATCTTCCTCTGTCTGGATGTGTTGGTGCACTCTCTCCATTAGGGCTTCCATAGTAAGGGGTGGCGTCATTGTCATTGAATCCCTCAACTTATTGCCAGCCGGCAAACCTCGTTTGTACTATGCAATAGCTAGGTGTAGACACCCAATTTTTGACCGACCTTAAGACTCAGACATCACCAACTGAACGCTCGGTGATGTTGCATTTTGTGCTCGTTCTGAGGTTTCAGAGTCTCGGCTACGAGCCTTGCCTCCAGACTTCATGGCTCTTTTGTGCTTTGCCTCGGTTTGCGAACCAGGTCCTGTTTTCTCTGTTTTCTCTTTCCGAAGGGAGGGAGAGGTCTCGTAGACCATCTCTCAGTGGCCGTAGGTTACGTTTCGTGGTCGTAGGCCATTTTTTCCATTTGGAGCCTAGTTTCCGGTTTTTGGAGCCGTCGGCCGTGTGCCTCGGTTCGGGACCGCTTAACTACCTCCGTTTGCTCCGATTTTTGGCACACACCTTGTTTCCTCCCTTTTGAGGGACACTGTGGCCCGGGAGACCACCTTCGTGGTTATACGCCACTTCCGGTGCCTAACAGCCTGTTTTCAGGGCCCTTGACTGCGCGTTTTGGCCCCCGAACCTTCGTTTTGCATCCGTCTTGGTCCATTTTTGGTGGAGACCCTATTTTCATTGTTAGGAAGATGGTAGGATGGTGGGAGGCCACCTTTTTCCATAAAAAGCCAGTTTTCTCATTTTCTCTCTCCAAAAGCCGATTTTTCTGACAGAAAGTTGGTTTTTCTCACTTTTAAGCCACAATTTCTGGTTTTTCACACCATCATTGTGTTGTGCTCATCTGGGAGGCCACCAATATGGGTAGGCCGACCAATAATTCTTCTTGACCCTTTTGAACCCCCCTAAAAAGCTTGGTTTTCTCTCTCTTGGGTCACATTTTTTGGTTTTTCACCACACAGCTGTATTCTACTCATCTGGGAGGCCACCTTTCTGAGGAGGCCGACCAGCTTTTTTGCTTGACCCTTTTGACCCCTGGTCGGCCGACCAGGGGGAGTGGCCGACCGGCCACCTTAGCTAGTCGGCCAGCTTTCTGCTTTTTGCTCTTCTCAAGTGCAACACAGCTGCGCCAGCTGTGAAGCATTTGACCCACTGTCCGAGGGTTTTGTCCTTGTTTTGGTCCTTAAAAGGGGGTTTTGACCCCTTTTCTTGGTTGGTAGGAGGAAGAAGCTTGACCCTTTTGGTCAAGCTTCTTGAGGGTCAAGCTTCCTCAA